GTTAATTGTGAAGTATACAGATTCTGAAATACTATGTTATGATACCCAGAATATCGATTAAACCAAGTTGCACAAGTGATGGCATAAAATTTGTAGGTCACTACAAACAGATAAACAGTAATTAGGCCACACCAATTTATTTCCTTGGTTAACGGATTCGCCGCTTCGTTTTTTTGCCAAAATGAAATAAAAATAAAAACAGAACAAAAATCCATACTCTCGGGTCCCGAATTGGGGCCCCAAAATCCACCGCGTACGTTGTAATTTTTTGCAAAATTTGGGCATAGTTAACAGCGTTAAAAATACATTGCTTCAAGGCAGAAACATTTTTCTGTGTGCAATTTGTTCGGAAAGCTAGGTTGCCTCTTCAAAAGTTCGTCAAAAAAAAATTCTTTTGATATAGAACTCGCCCCCCACCCCCTCTGCACATGTCACCATTCATGGGACAAAACTTCACTGACGACAGTCAAACGTACGGCAGATTTACTAAGTCATCATGCCTGTAACAACATATCATCTCCCTTTTAGATATATATTATATTTCATTTAGAAACACGTATTGTGTCGGAAACATGTGCTAGTAACGGGCGTTAAAAGTAATCGGCCGAACGTATAAACTCGGCCTGGGCGGCACATGCACACACACCTTCAAAACGATCTTTTTTTCCAGGGAATATGTAAAAATGACATGACATAACAATGTATTCTGACATCACAAACTGTATTACTCTCAAAAAGTACAAAATCCTACCACAAACATGGGAATTTGGCAAAGCAAAAAGTCCTCCATGCACGTACATGTAAGTCCATTCACTAAATTCTCACGGTCGGAAGAGTCCACTTCGAGTAGGGGGAAACAGTTTCTTTTAATTGTAGAAATTACTCTGTGAAAAATACTACATGTGCATGTGGCATTCTAACAAAGTTACATCTTATTTAGATACCTATAAACAGGAGTACAATTGCAAATAATGCATCAATTATTACATCTAATTTTTAAAATAAAATGTTTCCCCCTACAAATAAAAATCCCCATACATCAAAGACTTTATAGTGAAACCCTAGACCATTGAATTTGTGGCAACTTGAAGAGTGTGTCATTGTGGCTATTTGTTTGAATGATGGCTATGTATAATGTATCTGTAGCATACCTAAAGTGTATAATGGGAAATATAAAATGTATACTACCGGTAGTATTTGGGAGTTGGGAAAAGATTAAAAAAAAGAAATAAAATATCTGTAAAAGTAGTTAATTCTTTAGCCAATAACTTTTACACATTCCTGGAAATTTGTCTAAAGCATATATTTAGGATATTGTAAATTTCAAGCTCTAAATAACTTCCATATCAGCCAGACACAATAGAATGCCCAGCCCAGTGGTAAGCTGTGTGCCCTGAACTGTAAGAAAACAATGGAATCTGAACAGAGCACCCTGATTTAAACCACTCTTTGGAACTTTGAAAGATGAATAAAAGTGAAACCAGTTGGATGGGAGTCTTGTCAACTGACAGTTTGTTGTTCATACAGTAAAGATGTGTATCTTGCAAAATAATACGAATAATTGTAAAGGGATGTAAGAGAAGTTGCTCATGTACATGTAATAATGGTCCTTTCAGTTCAATAAGTGTCTAATATAATATCATTTTGTAACTTAACTTAATGGATTGCTTACTACATGGCTGTATGGCAGGTGGTCTCAAATTTTTATTTTTATTTTTATTTCGCCCGCCCGCTCCATTTTTTTTCTAGAAAAATCCGTTAACCAAGAAATTAAATTGGTGTGGCCTAAACTTGAGGAGACACATACCTTGGCTTAAAACAATGGCAGTACTAGTAGAGGTTTCTGTGCACACTGAGTAGCATTAGCTGAGTGTATAATGAATGCTGCACAGTAGCAAAGTAGAGATCTTTGAACCTTGGTCCCAGTCCCAGTCAACCATTCAAAGGTCATTAGACTGAACATATAAATCTTTAACTCAAGGATGTGTGTACCACTACGTGTGCTAGTAAGTGTGTGCTTCAAAAGTGTGCAGATGAGTGTATCATGCAACGTTACTAAGTATGCGTGTGGTTTCAAAATTTGTATGTTTCTCCATATCATTTCTTCCAAGGTAAAAATGTCTATGTGTTTTGCTTGAACAAGCTACTCTTTATTTTATGGAGCTGTCAAGATCATTTGTTCCTGTTCTGGTTAGCTACAGTCTACACTACTGATATTCCTCTTTCAGAGTACTGCTGCTGCAATTGCATTGAATTCATTTTGACTATTACGGGGCATGGGGGTCAGTTAAATGCCATTCTATGCTATAAACCTAAACAGATTAAAGTCACTTGAAGGGGATAGCTGTCAAATAAGGTGGAGGGATGGGTAAGACTGTTATGTCAATGTGTCAATATTACATGCTCACAATGCATGACACTAAAAGACATTGCAAAAGTTTCAAGTTACAGTAACGTTATATCCTTGTTATGATCTTTAAGCACTGCCTTTGTCAAAATTTTACTGGAATAAAATGTTTAGAATGAATGTTATTCTCGAGCTGACATTATAGCACAATGTACACTGCAAAAAATACAAAATTATAGGTTTCCTCAACTAGCTAATTAATTTGGTTTTCATGCTATTGCAAATTCCCATTGATGAAAATGGGAAATAAAAAAATGTCAGGCATTTGCCTGTGGGAATACAGGGTTTGACATTTCTTGTCAAAGAAACTGGTGCATGTAACGTTACCTAACCTCAAATTTAGGTGAACGGAAAAAATGTGGGTGCAAACCAAAAGATAAGTATTTCAAGGCCTACATATATGACACGTATCATTTAAGTAGTCCCTCTGAATCATGCACGAATGTGTTTATTGTCTGCATAATCTATGCACAAACAACAAAGCATCGGCAACACAAAGAAGGACAAACAGCTGATCGAAAATATGACCTCTAAGCGCAAAATTATAGAGCGATCTGACAAGCTAGTAAACCATCTTATATCCGAATATCTAGGAACTCTGAAGGATCGTGGAAAGAACACCGTACTTACGACTGCGGTTGTGGCCAACCCAGGACTAAACTACTTCTCCATTCAGTTTCTAATAACAATTTTGATGATGAAATGTCACATGTCACGCAAGACCTGCTGATTTTCTCCAGAAGGCATCGAAACAAAAGAAACAATAATACGACTGTCCCTTCAACCAAATATCACTTTATTTCAACACCTAGTGAGGAATAATGATCAAAACATTATTCTTAGCAGTTATGACAAGTTTGTGCAAGTTTTCTTGCTGAACGAAAGGATTTTTTAATGTTTTTTGTTTCGATGCTGTGCCTTTGCTCTCAGGGGAGCTTGGTCCCTGCGGCGGTAGCTTAGCAACGACACCTAGCGAGATCTTTGAGATAAGCAATCTAAACCCTGTGCAGAGCAGGATTTAGCGGATGATAATGTTTGTGATGAGTGCATGCGTGAAGTAAGTAAATATGCCGAAATCAGACCTCAAATTTTGTGCTGGAAAAGTGCACGGAGCTGTGCAGACTGTGAATTTTGATTGACACCTCTCGCAAGAGGTCTGACCTCATTTGACCTCTCAAATTTGACCTTTGTGATCTCAGGAAAAGTCTCGCGATACACAGCGAGATTCCGCGAGACGTGGAGGTCAGAAGAAGAAAATGTAAAAGGAAGGAAGATGACTGGCAGTCGGCCGCCGCTACAGGTTGAATCCTCAGGTATTCCTCGGAAAATTCGCCCAGCCAGGACGGTAGAGGAACGCAGGTAGTTTCCTACTGTCGAGACGCTATACAAGATCGAATCTCTCGTTCTAAGATGCGGTTATAGGCGAGGGAAAGGGGGAAGGAAGGACGGGTATAACGGGACCAGGCCGCACGGGTGCGGCCAGCCATTTCTCCGCCATCCCCGATCTCTCTTCCGGTGTGTATGCATCCTTGATCAGGTGGGACCTGTTCGCGGTGATATGGGCGGTCGTGGGGCTTTTTGCCGTGCATGAAAATAATTTCAGGCGCCGCCATGGCAGTGTTCGTGCCGGGAGGGGGCCCAGTGTCGCCCCGAGAGCCAGAGCACGGCTCAAGGCACCTTTTTCATAAGAAAACCTTCCACAAGCCGACTTACTGCCACCACTGTACCGAGCTACTGTGGGGGGTGCTGGGACAGGGGTATGTGTGTGAGATGTGCAACTTCGTCAGCCACGATAAGTGTAGACAAGCTATCGTTACACCGTGTACTTCGCTGGCACCGCAACTCGTAAAACATCCCGTCGCACACTGCTGGAGCAACGCTGGCCGACACTTTAAGAAAAAATTCTGCAACGTCTGTAGGAAAAAGCTGGACGACCTCTGGGCGCTGCGGTGCGAGGTGTGCGAGTACTACGTGCACGCGGACTGCCAGGACTTTGCCGTTAGCGACTGCAGACAGTGCGCAGCATACCAGCCGCAGAGGCACGACTTAATGCTGGCCGTACACACGCACCTGTGGCGGGAGGGAAACCTCGGAGCCACCGCCAAGTGCGTGGTGTGTAAGAAAAACTGCGGGACCACGGAATGCCTGGCCAGCATGAGATGTGAGTGGTGCGGCGTGAAGGCCCACACCGGCTGCTACAGATCCATTCCAGCCGAATGCAGCTTCGGAGCGCTGCAGAAGCTAATGTTACCGCCCGTCTGCGTACACGTGCCGTCCGCTGCAGTTGCCGCGGAAACCCTAATGGGCCAGTTCGGGCGGAAACGACAAGTAAAAGTAGACCGAGACGACGAAGACACAGCCGACGCGCGCACGCCGGGAACGCAAGACGAACAGGGCAAGAGTAAAATGACGGTCAAAGTGTATGACGGTAGCGCCTCCTTAAAACGGAACTGCTTCCGTACGGTGATAGTTTCCCGCGGCGCGTCCCCTGCGGAGGTCCTGGAAGCGGCCATGAAGTCTCATCACATCGTAGACAACCCCATCCACTACTACCTCTCGCAGGTGGACAGGGAGAGCCCAGAGACAGAGAAGCCGCTCAACAACAACGACGACACCTTCCAGCTCAGCGCCAGTGAGGGGAAGGCGCCCGCGGTCTGCCTGAGGTTTGCCAACAAAGGCCATGGAGAGAAGGGCATGATCAGGGTTTACCCTGGGATGCTAAGAGTGGCCGTAGCCTACAAAACCATCCCCGTGACCAACACCACGACAGTAGACGAAGCCATCCAGATGGCGTTAGAAAAATTCGGACTGCGAGAAGAAGACCCCAGCCACTACTCCTTGGTGGAAGTTCTGATCGACAAGGGTGTACAAGAGCGTGTGATGCTGCGTGACGAGTACCCCTGGCCGCAGCTGGTGGACGCGCGGCAGGGCTCGCTACGACAGATGAAACTGACGAGATTCTACCTCAGGAACTCCTCCCACCCGGAGGGACCCGTGGAACTGTTCGTGTACAACCTTCCCGTCGGTTTAGCGCCGGGAAAGTACGTCTCCATCATGGCAGAACTCCTGGGGAAAAACACGTTCACGACCGTCGGGCCGATCCACCCGCAGTACGGCGCGAGTTTCATGACGTTCTCGTCGGCCGACACGGCCCTGCGCGCCCTCTCCATGCTGAACGAGTCGACGGTGGACGAGAAGCGCGTGGCGGCCATGCTGCTGCCCCACGTGGAGGCCAACATGATCCCCAACACCGTCACCCCGCTGCTCGTCTTCGTCAACACCAAGAGCGGCGGCTGCCAGGGCGTGGAGATCCTCTCCGCATTCAGGCACCTCCTCAACCCACACCAGGTTTGTTTGTTTAATGAATCTCCAAATTAGTGATTATGCACCACTCAAACTAGTACTCTTCCTGGAGTCCTCTTACACATTATAAAATACAACATTATATTATTAACTATTTACAACCACTTCTAACTACTACTTTCAAAGAAACTTGTCAACATTAAACAATATTACGTACACACGAAAAAGTTAGGCTGAATTTTCATTTGCTACCTGGTTTTGAAGAGTAAAATGCACCATTATCATCAATTAATTACACCAACTACGTATGTCACATTATACAGGTGTTTGACCTGGACCAGGGTGGCCCCCTGCCGGGCCTCCTGACCTTCCGTAACGTCAGGAAGTACCGTATCCTGATCTGCGGTGGTGACGGGTCGGTGGGCTGGGTGCTGTCCTGTCTGGACGGCATCTCCAAGGACCTGACCTGCAGCACGCCGCCCACCGCCATCCTGCCCATCGGGACGGGGAACGACCTGGCCCGCGTGCTGGGATGGGGAGCGGGGTACACCGGGAACGACGACCCGCTCTCGCTCCTCATCCAGGCACGGGACGCCGACAACTCCAAGTTCGACCGCTGGACAATCCTGTTTGAACCAAACGAGGTGGAGAAGAGCACGGACAATGCTACATCATCTACAGGTAAGGCTGTTGCGTTCCTTATAACACTGGTCACTTCAATTTTGGAATGTCACTTTCCGAATTTTGAGACAGCTATGTTGAAATCCCTGATTTTCAACTCTGTTATTCCTGGATGTACAGTAATCTTTTCCATACCATTGGAAAGATCATGTTACCTTCTTTATTAGGTTGTTTTTTTATGGTCAGAATGTACAAATTTATCAAGATATTTGACTTTAAAAATTGCAAGCCTGGCAGTCTAGAATACACACCGTCAGGCCCAGGAGAATATCCTGGCAGTCTTGACTTTAGCCCGCGCGGGCTTAGTAGTCAGCCCGCACCCAATGTAAACCACTGAATTAATGAGAATTCACATGTTCACACCAGTGTAATTAGCAAGTGGGTTGTACTTCATGCTCTCCTTACTTATGATAATGTGGATTTTGCATATCAATGGCACCAGACCGCGGTCTGAGATGTAGCCCTCCCAGGCTCAAGTTGGCACAGACAGTCTGCATTCATTAATCAATTCACACTTCCAGGGCTGTCTTGTGGGCCTTTTGACCAGAATTTTTAGACTGCAGGGGTGAAATTAGCCTGACGGTCTGAATGGTTTTCGAGTAAATCAGCCCGCGGTCTGGGAATCTACACCTGTAGTCTAGTGCCTTTAGACCGAAGGTCCTGTAATTTACACTTGCGGGCTAGTTGTTAGGCCTGACGGGCTGTTAGGAAAGACCACTGGTCTGCTTGTATTTATTATTTATGATATCTTAAGTTATGAACACTGCAGAACAATAATTTCATATCACTGTGCTCATTACACCAAGAGCTACACACTGATGTGAAACTTGAATGTTGAAAATCAATTTTTACTTGAGTTTCCAAATGCCTTGTGACTTTCCAAAATTGATGCGACCAGTGTTTTATGTACCATTGTGGATTAAATAAAATCATATTATTAAATAATACCAGAGTTAGAGGTGTTGGCGAATTGTTCTAGTCACGTATACGTATAACTTATACTATAGCTATGGAGGAAGAGAAGAGCATGGACAATGCTGTGTCATCTACAGGTAAGGTTATAGTGTTCCTTCTGTACCATTGCAGGTTAAATAAAATCATTATAATTTATATTAAACAGTAATGTTCCAGGCTTAGAGGTGTTGGCCACTTGCAATCTTCTACATTTATATCTTATAAATTGTATAAGCTGTGAGCATTGTGATCATGTATCCAGGAAAAAGTCTATTTCAAGTCACTAAAAGGGTTCATCAATCACGTTTGTATTGATTTTTAATTATTTGGAAAAAAAGAATATTAAAGTACATGTACGTGTAATTCTAAGCATTTGTATCGATCAATGACAACAATTTGTGTGACTTGGAATGGACTTCAGTTAGAATATTGCATTATGTATGTATAATATTGTATATCTAACTTTCCTTTGCCAAAATGTGTACTTGTAGTATAAGGTGTGTGTTGAAACAAGTAGAACTGAAAGTCATGAATCTGGAATGTGAAACTGAAACTTTGATTTGTTTGAAGGTGGTTTAGTGCAGTGCTGCATTGTGGAAAGAGAAAGGTGAAAAGAAAGAATGAATTGCAGCATATTATTACCTCCATGTATGGAGGTTTTATTTTAAATTTCAGTGTGTCTCTTTTGCTTATAAGTATTTCCATAGTCATTTTCCTTAGTCATTGATACATCAGCATGTCAGGGATGGTGAGGTGAGGTCAGGGGAAGTGACGTCAGGGTCCTAGAAAAAGTTATGATCATTTCCTGCTTTCTCCACCTACTGTATGACTCATGACACGTAACAAATAAATTGGCATTGGTTTCTAAACAGTTTTTAGGATGATCCATACACACTAAATTTCGAGTGGTTCAGGTAAAATTTGTTAATGCAGAAAAAGTACTAGTCTTTCAAGCTTACAATATACATACATGTCATTCACAGGAATAATTTGGTCTGAAGAATATTTTCAACTTTATAATTAGGCCAAAATCTTACATAATGTTCCTTTCAGAAACTACTACACATGTACTAAGTACTGTCACTAGTCATCATTATGGATCATAATGAGCGCTCGAGTGGTGGATGTCACTCAAAAAATCCGGAAATAATCTCCGTGGTGGGTCTGACGGGCGTGGTCCACAGTTACCTGATGGTTGCCATGTGATTAAGTTCATTTAGCAACACTGATGGATCTGTATCTGTATCAGTATAGCTGGTATAACCGCCCTTTGGCGTAACACACCAGCTTATGATCATAATGTCACTGACAAAATGTCTGGAAATACCAGTAATCTCAATCCCTGCTTTCTGTTTCCTGATGGTTTTTAGGTGCGAGCAGTGGTCCTCGAGACGAGCCCAACGTATGCATCATGAACAACTACTTCGGTGTGGGGATTGACGCGGACCTGTGCCTGGGCTTCCACCTGGCGCGCGAGGAGAACCCCGAGAAGTTCACCAGCCGCTTCCACAACAAGGGCGTGTACGTCAAGCTCAGCCTGCGCAAGATGATGGGCAGGAAGTCCTGCAAGGATCTACAGAGGCAGATCGAGCTGGAGGTGGACGGGCAGGTCATCGACCTCCCGACGTGCGAGGGGATCGTCTTCCTGAACATCCGCAGCTGGGGGTCGGGGTGCGACCCTTGGGGGAACGAGACGTCCGAAACGTTCAGCCCGCCGTCCTACAACGACGGGACGCTGGAGGTGGTGGGGCTGACGGGAGTGGTTCACCTCGGGCAGATCCAGGGAGGGATCCGTGGCGCGATTCGCGTGGCGCAGGGACAGAGCATCAAGCTGACGCTGAAGAACGACATTCCGGTGCAGATCGACGGCGAGCCGTGGCTCCAGCCCGCGGGTCAGGTCATCATCATGCCGTCCGCCATACAAGCCAACATGCTGCGCCGACGCAAGACCAAAGTGCAGCGCCGCAACACGGAGCCCAGTCTGTTCCGCCCCACGGGCGAGCTGAACAAGGCGCTCGGGCAGCACATAGACTCCACCGCGAGTTGGCTGGTCTCGTCGGACGTGTCTCCAGCCGCTGACACGACAGGCAGCGAAGCACCACAGTCCTGAAGTCACTACACAAGCTCCTGTAGACAGTACATGCCATTTCTTACATATGTAGTTTAAGAGAACAAAAGGACTATGTCCTGAAGTCGCAACACAAGTAATCTCCAAGCAGACATTTCGGTGGCTGCAAAAGACAGTATCAAATTGGCCGGACAGTATAGCCTAGTTACCAAATTATGTATAATAGCTCCAGAGTCCTAGTACATCTTTGCAGAGAGGATGTAGGACTCGGGAGCTAAAATAGGTTTGGTAACCAGGCTAAGGCAGTATCCATTAGCCAGACGGTATCCATTGGCCACACAACTTAAGTGGCTAATGGACACTCCTCTGGCCAGTGGATACTGCCTGGCCACCGTATGATCTGCTTGGAGATTAAACACAAGTTCCTGTAGACAGTACATGCCATTTCTTATATACGTAGTCTGAGAGAAGTGAAGGACTATGTGTAGTTAAGTTCATTCCAGATATCTGAATTCTACATTATACATAACCAAAAGAAGTTGTCAGATATGAATAATATCATTTCCAGGGGAACTGTAGCCATTAGTCGAGATATACCTTCATTTCATGAATTCAAGTCCATTTTTACTACAGAGCGATGTATAATTACGTGTGCTGTAATTTGTTGTAAAGTGCCAAGTGAAGAAAAGATATGTTTTTAGTCATACTACTGTGATGATATCTAGCAAAGAAAGTCTTCTAAAACTTGAAGAAATACTACTGTGATGATATCTAGCAAAGAAAGTCTTCTAAAACTTGAAGAAATATATTCTGAATTTGACCATTCCTAGGAAACCCAGGGATGTGTAATGAAGTAATGGTTTGCTATGTACTTCTACATGTATGTATCTGTGTCAATTGCTGCTTTGTATCAAATTGTTTTGATTGCCAATAATTGTGGCAAAGCCATGATCAGACTAGGAGTTAGACACTATAGATAGAACCTGGTGTCTCCTTCACTTTCTCATCATACATCTGCTTAGAGAAAAGGCTTCAAATCAATTATAATGTCTTCATAAGTTTGTCAATCCACTTTTAGTAGTGATATTCATTTTGAGATGTTCTTGCACTTCTCATTTGTTGTTTTGCAATGGCTAGCAGCCTGCTTTGAGACATTTGTAACAAGTCAGTCAACCTAATGGGCTGGTAATGTGGTATATGTTCCTTTTTCTTTGAATAATTTATGACAGAAATGTTCCTGTAGAGTCTAGCATCACGTAATACAAGTTGTCATGATCATAATTATGTTAGTTCTTGAAATCTAATATTTTGTCAGTTGTATTTTGGTAAATTTGGTATGAGTTGGAGACCATACATGGATAACGTCCTTAACCTTTTTTTTGTGTCTCACCAAGTAGTTTTGTACAGCTCCTTTGTCTCATCCAGCAGTTTTGTACTGTTGTATCTCACACCAATGTTGTCTATGGATCCTCCTGTGATTGGTTAATCATTCCTAGCTTTGTCCGTTTTGTCTTCCAAATGTAGTTTCACACGCACAATAGTCTGCCTCAGCTTATATCACTTCTCAATACATGTATTACTGTCAATAACTCAATATGTGTTTGCATTTAGAGAACAAATTTCAAATTTATTTTTTGTTTTTCCTGGTGCTTTT